GGTTGATGATGTCAACAGAGAAACAAGAAGCCTTGACAAACTACGGAAGTTATTTTTAGGGACGTTATTTCATTTCATCCAAAGCTCGTAAAACAGTAATATTTATTTTCGTCCCTAGTCTATTCTACATATCATAAGCTTTCGTTTGATGTATGATTCACTGCCATAGCCCCTTTTGTTCTAAAGCTATTGTTATTGAAACGTATTATTTTGTACTCTATTTTCTACACTAATCCCCAGTAGTGGATATAATTGTATTTTCCTAATAATTGTACGTTGTGGTCAGACTAGTCATTTATTTATTCATGTCTCTTTTTACAATGATCTGAAATCGGAAAGTCGAGAACCAGATCGGAATTGAGAATAAATCGAGTAGTGTTCCAGTTGGCTTGTCTTCTTTCATTCGCGTGCTTATCAACCAATCAGGTGATAGAATACTTTTTGTCGCTCTCTACCGCAAGCCGTAGGTCTCACTTCGAACTCACGCATACTAGCCTCAAGGTTAAACCATTTGGCCTATCGCGTCAAGGCCTTAATCTAGGTTAGACAAGTATCCTCTGTACAAAGAGGCTAGACAGATCAAGGACGTCAGAGTTGACAGTTGTTTCGAGTTATATATAGGTTCTCTATAGGTGCCACTATTGCTTTGCCAATCACTGGCTTTACGTCTGCATCAGATCCTCTTAGTTCATCGATTATGCTTCCTAGATATTTCAACGTTTCCACCTATTCCAAAGCTTCTCTATCAAGTGTAATTGTGCTTGTACGATCTGTGTTGTATTTGAAGATCTTGATTTTTCCCTTGTGTATTTTGAAGTCCACTGCTATAGTGAACGCGAACACAAGTGGTAACAATCGAACGTATGTGAACACAAAATTACTGAACATCTTAGTAAAATCTGAGAACCATATAGTAAATACTTCATTATCGAAATATCAAACAATTGTCTCAAACATGACTATTCCTTCTGCAAAATGTCACTCGTTCATCTCAGAACTCATTGTTCATTCGTTTCCACACCAATCATTCTTTATTCTCGTTCTCTTTTCATCGATCTTGTTAACCTTCTGTCGCTAGGTAGATCACTTTGTATTAATGATACCTATTAATTACATCTGTCGATATCAGTAGCACACACCACACTACTGCAGACGCTACTGTTATACTGTTTATCTTCATCTGCATTTGTTGATGTGTATTGGATAAAAAAAAGTTAGGTCATCTGCATAATCGAAATCGTCTATCTGCATCCAAGCTGTTCATTGTATCCCATACTTCCCCTGATGATCATCTTATTACTAAAAAAATATATTAGTAAGAATGAGTACAGAGAAGATAGTGAAACCACCACCGCATGCACCAGTCCATAGCATACGATTAACTGATGCGCATTGGTTGTCCTTCACTTTGACAGGGATCGATGATCTGTTCGAGATTCGGTGATGATTTGCCTAGGGCTTAGTTACATTTCACTGGCTCTATGTCATTTATAATGAAACAGAATTTCATACTACCTAATTAGTTATAAGAAGAATCTTGTGTTCATACTTCAATTAATGAAGTTGAATCTAATGAGGAATATATTCTTTTTAATAAAGCGAGATAATATTCAAAGTAAAGCCAAACAGTTCGTACAATATCTCTAAGCCTCATGACAGCTCGGATGCAAATATGAGGGAGTCATTCTGATCAGACCAATTATTCACTTATTCATAGCATCCACCTTCGTATCCTTCTAGCTGGGATAGTCCAGCCCGAAATATTGGTTTTAAGCATGAGCGTTCAGATTTTAACTTGAAACTTGTTGTTGTTATTATATTCTTCATCTTCATATATGAACTGAAACAACTATGAAAATGTTACACTGACCGAATTGGACTACAGAATGTGGGGGAAGATTTAGAGATGCAACTAAATGATAGAAAACTAAACGCAAATATTATTGAACTATATTGTATCATTCAGATGTCAATTTTAATTTTCAGTATAGGGCTGTGGATATTATCAAGTTATTGATTGAGATCATGAACCAATTGATGTTAGAGCACTATTGAAAACTTGGAAGCAATGGACGGACGTTTGATCCTATTGTGTGACTCCTCAACAATGTGCATCCAGGTTTACAATAGTGGTCTGACATCAATCGATTCACGGTCCCAGTCAATTTTAATTTAACATTTTGATAACTGTAGTTAGTAATACAATCTGGCACTGCCTGTGACTAGTCAGTTGTATGCACACGGTTCCTAGTGTTAGTGTTCTTACTGAATATCAAACCCTATACCTAAATTATGTCATTCTACTTGTGACTGGTTGTAAAGTCTGACAAAAGATATATAAAATTATGTATTTTCATAACTTATAACGTTTGTAGTGAACGAGAACACACAGTGGGGACAACCAAATGTAATTGGGCACAAAATTACAGAATCTCTCAGTAAAACCTGAGAACCATACAGTAAATAATACATTTGCAAAATGTTAATCAATTGTCTCAGAATTCAGTGTTCCTGCACTTCCATACCATTTACTTTATGTTCCCGATCTTCTTGAGCTTCTGCTGCCAGACATTCTAATCTTGACTATCGTTATATACTACTCATGTTGATACAAGTAGCACACACCACACATTCACTCATCATAATAGAAATATTCCAATTCACTATCTTTAGATTTCAGAACATGATTAGTAACTTTATATGTAAAACTCCTGTCTAAAACGTAATACAGTGTAATTTGGAATTGTATAATTTGCACAGACCGAAAAAACTGTCTATAAATATTGAAGTTATTACATTCCAACGGCGAGATCATAGTTTATAGACGAACCAATCACCTATAAGAGAAAAGGTCTTGGATTTTGGCACGAGATTCACTCATCCATCCACAACTCCATCTTGCGAGATTCAAACTCAAGACTTATTAGTCTCGAACGCTGAACCTTTAGACTATTGAGTTGGCCGGTATCCAATTCTTTTAATGTCTAACTTTAACTAATCCACGAAATTCAATGACACATCCACCAATGTTTTCAGTGAGTTACTATCTCACAATAGACCTGGTTGAACTCCATTAGTCACTGCTTCGCACTAGATTGATGATATAAAGATTTACAATAAAACATTAAATTTTCTATATGATAACTATGAATAGTATTTGGAGATTTACAATTGATTAATCACTAGGTGATGATCATTGTCATGTATGTCAGGTTCTTTTTAGTGTATATCGAATGCTATCGATCATATTGCAATGTGGTCACCAGTCTAGATGACTCGACATTGTATGTACTATGTTGAGATAAGATGATAGTTGAAGGTAAGTCCAAGGTTTCCTGTTGACTACCTTTAACCACCATCTGTCTTAATGTTTGGAGATATTAAATGAACTATTTGTAACTCTGTAACAATGTCTAGTATTGAATATAAAAACACCAAGTTCAGTGAAGGGATTTGTATTCAATGAATTTATTATCAAGCTGTACAATCGTATCAATATATATGTGAACATATTTGGTGAAAGTACTTTTACCATGAGGAAATATGAACAAGAAATAATCAAGATGATGTAATAGAAAGAGTATAATACTTGATTATGTAATACGAATGATAACCTATAGAATTAATAAGTTAGTAACGAATGAGAACATAAATGTAGTGAAATGATTTAAATGTTTTTGTTACAATCATTCAAGGTCATTGAAGGCCATTCAAGGTCATTAAAGGTCATAGTGGTGTATAAAATTGAATAAAGTAATATTATGAATAATGATGAATAAAATCATGAGAATACGTTGTATAAGTCAATGGGGGAAATGCAATAATAATAATAATAATAATAATTAAGGTCAAGTTAATGATAATGATAGGACATACTTCTTTTATACGCATCGTTCTGGCTTGATCTCATAGATGGTAAGAGCTTCGTTTATTTTTAGGCGTTGGATATGATGAAATCTAGATAGATTTAAACAAATCATATATACAATCTTAGGCTAAGGACAGAAAGGGTTAGAGAATGCTAATCGATGGTCTATGCTCCATTGGGAGTAACAGACGTAAGTAAGTAAGTAAGCAAGTAAGTAAGATGTCCAAGTATAGAACTTCTAACTATCTTCCTTGTACAACCAAACAGGGATATATTTTACTTAAACCATACAAATATACAATCTAATCACATAGTTACAATTGTAAGTTATTATTGTTGTTATCATCATCAGCGTTTCTTTTTTATCATTCTTCAACAAATATTTCATCGATCATTAAATATATCATTAATGAAAGTAAGTGTTATATCATAATCATTAATCAATTTGATTAGGTAACACTAAATTGTCCAGATTGAATCATTAATAAAATGTAATGCAATTGACAATATGATTATCATTTGCATGATTACAATAGATATATATTTCACAGATTGAAATCATAAGTCATTTGAAGCTAGACCACCATGTAAAACCTAGAAGCACTGGATGGCCGTCTCGTCTTGGCATGAGACTCCTCAGCAGTGCGCATCCACGATTCCGCACCTCACGAGATTCGAACCCAGGAATTATCAGTCTCGCGCCAGGCGCTTAACCAGCTAGACCACTGAGCCGGCATTCAATGATGTTAATGTCTAACTTCAACCAATCCACGAAGTTGCGCCAACGTATACCATTGTCGTCAGTGAGTTGATATCTCACAACAGACCTGGTTGAACTCCACGGGTAACGTGAATGTGCAATGCTGAGGAGTCCTATACTAGGACGAAATGGCCGTCCAGTACTTTCATGTTGGTCTAGCTTCAACTGACTCATGATTTCAATCTGTGAAATTTCTAAAATCTCCGTAAACCCCTTATGATAATAGATATATATTTAATTATTATGAATAATAATAATAATACTCATTTTAACAAACATTACGTAATCAAATTGTCCCAGATACAGAAACAAAAAGACAAAAAAAGGTAAAGAGAACATTATTCATATCATCAATACTCTTGTATGATTTAATTATACATCGATGACATCAGCAACTGACCATATTTTTGATGAAGGACTACATAATTGTGATGTTTGATCATGTTTTATGATACTATTATTATTATTATTATTAATAGTAGAATTATTATTTGTAGTTAATTTCGATAATGATCCATATAATAATGGATATTGATCTATATTTTCACAATTTAATTGATTGATTATATGGATTAATTTAGTATGATAATCATTATACCATAAATGAGAATCATTGTTACTATGATCATTATTGATTATAGAATTCTCATTAGATAAATTGATCTGATCATTATTATTATTATTATTATTATTATTATTATTATTATTATTATTTAATTTCTCTATGAATTGTAGACATTCTTGTTGTGGTGATGGTGGTTCTTGTTCTTGTTCTTGTTGCTCTTCTTCTCCTTCTTCTTCTTGTTGCTGGGTGGTTTTATTTAGAAAATATTTCAAAATTAATTGATTTTTGAATGATGTCAAATGAGGAGAATCATGATGATGATGATGGTGGTGGTGGTGATAGTTGTGATGATGAAGATGATGATGATGATTAGTATTGAATGGATTAATTAAACAATCTCTTATTATTGTTGATTTTAATTGAGCTTTCGTTTGTGATAATTGATCTATATTAACCTCATTATTATTATTATTATCACCACCACCCTGTTTTTGACAAATTTGTATCTTATTATTATTATTATTATTTAAATTGATTGAATTAGTTACTATCCTATGATGACGTATTTTCGGTATCCATGTCATTTGATTATCTTTTTTTAATCTTCTTCTAGCATTAGCAAACCATGTTGAAATTTGTGTTAAACTTAAATTAGTTATAATAGATAATTTAATTTTTTCATTTTTTGTTGGATATGGATTATGACGATGATTATTTAACCATGTTTTTAATAAATTTGTTGTTTCACGGATTGTAAATTTTTTGATTGTTATATAATTATTAGTTATACCTTTATGAGTTGATAATCTAAAAGAAGAGAAGAGAAAAAAAAGAAAATAAAGAACAAAGGAACTGTGGGACTCGAACCTCAGTAACATTCGGGTTCAAATATGACTTAGATACTGAGCCCTAATAGGCACTTAATTATGCCATAGGTTGAAGGTTAAATTCACTTATTTATGACCAAAAATCATCAGTCCCTCTTTCTCTCTTATTGGCTATGTGCATATTGTGAGGATTGATTCAAGTCACAAGCTTTATAAATAAAGATGGATAGTGCCTACCAATGGAATCCAGGATACACGTGTCGTCCTAGTCGTGACTCGTCAGATGGATGTATCTTCATCTAAGAGTTGGTGTTAGTTATTTCACTTGGTAACTGAATGTACCTGATTCGCATAGTTGATATTCATTCCGGGACTCAAACGCAGTACCATTTTCACTTCGAAACACTATTGTGTAATTCACATAGTTATTGAGTCATGATAGCCACTTGCTTGTGCAATGAGATGAAGATTGAATTCACTGAATATTATTTAGTCGAATAATCCTATTGATGTTTAGGACTGCAATTGATCAGTCTCTCCTTCTTACTGGCATATGTTCATTCAATAAAGATTGCCTCGATATTGCGTTAATTCGTAAACATTTAAAAAAAACATGGATGGTGGCTAGCACTAAAATGCAGGATGAGCCTTTCGTCCTATTCAGGACTCATCACATGGATGTCTCTGAATCTCAGTGTGAATGCACACACTAGAACTCGAACCTAGTACCGTTCGCATTATCCACCTAGCTACTGAGTCCTGATAATGACTTGCTTGTGCCATCGGGTGAAGTTTAAATTCACTTGGTATTGTTTTACTTGAACCTTCCCATTGATGTTTAGGACTGAAATTGATCAGTCTCATATCGGCATATGTGCGTCCTGTACGAACTGCCTCTATATTGCCTCAATTCACAAGAAGTATAAGCAAAGATGAATAGTGGCTAGCAATGAAATCCAGGAGATTCATTTTGTCTTATTTGAGATTTGTCAAATGAATATACCTTCAAACTAGAGTTGACGTACTGGGTTTGAGTCCTCAAGTGAACATCCACTCTAACGAATTAAAAACCAAATAAAATGTATGCCTTGAACTTCACTTCTAACTATATTCCATCGATTCTATATAAACTGGTGTGATAATGGCTATATCGAGGCAATCTATGCAGGATACCTATATACAAACTAAGACTATTCAAACTTCAATCAAACTATTAGCCAAGGGGATAACTTAAACCAATTAAATGAATATTTCATTCATTGTTAGTTATTCATTCTATCAATTAATCAATTCTGTTATGAATAATCCAATTTAATTGAAACAAAACAAATCTGGTAATATGAATTAGTTTGTTCTTACTTACATTGGTTTCTTTACTTCTGGCAGAGTTTCATATTCTTTATTAAGGCGTTCATTCTATATTGGAAAAAGAAAAATTGTAATCATAGAGAGGTTATGTTGATCACGGGTCAGTTGAAACTAGACGAACATGAAAAACTTGGAAGCATTGGACAGGAGTTTCGTCCTATTGAAGGACTCCTCAACAGTGCTCACCCAAGATACTGATTCGAACACAGGACCTTTCAGTCTTGCACGCAAACATTTCACATCTAGACCACTGAGTCAGTCGGTATCCAACGGTGTTAATGTCTAACTTCAACTAATCCTCGAAATTCAGCGATACATCCACTATTGTCTTCAATGAGTTACTATCTCACAACAGACCCGATTGAATTTCACTGGTCACGGTTTTTCACTAGAACTCCAGGAAATACCTCTTGAGGCCAGTCATTAGTGATCATACAATGATAATAATCAGAGAGTAGTTCCAGGATTTTATTGATGGTCTAGCTTATATCGGCTCATGAATTTAACTATTCAAGTTGTTCGATCTTTTGAATAAACATTCAAATCATTCTATTTATTGCCCACTTCTAGACTAATTATACAATTGTATCATTTTGAAATAAATTAAATCCTTAAAACCTTCAAAGTTAATAAATATTTAACTTGTTTTGAAGATGGAGATTAACTAACCGTTGGAACAATAAGTCGAAATTTAATTTTCACTCACACCAACGACAAACTTTCAAGAAATTCATAACTATCTAAGTAGATAAATCATTGAAGAAAATAGCTTATTTCAAGTGGAGTAGGCATTTATTGACTGAATTCCGTAAGGATCAATCGTGCACAGACCAAATTGCGACACTATGGATCATCGAACAATCAGTTGAGTGGAACTCGTCACTATACATCAACTTCATTGATTATGAAAAGGCGTTTGACATTGTGGATTGGAGGACATTATGGAAACTTCTTCGACACTACTGAGTTCCTGAACAGATTGACAATATTATCCGGAACTCATACGATGGACTACAGTGCAAAGTAGTGGATGGAGGACAGCTGACAGATGCATTCCAAGTAAGGACCGGAGTCAGACAAGGCTGTTTACTCTCTCCCTTCCTCTTTCTTCTGGTAGTCAAATGGATTATAAAGACCTCGACATCTGAGGGAAAACATGGCATACAATGGATAGCTCAGAACCAATTAGACGATTTGGAATTCGCAGATGACCTAGCCTTCCTATCCCATACACCTCAACAATTGTGGATAAAGACAGTCAGTGTAGCAGCAGTCTCTGCATCAGTAGGCCTCAACATACACAAGGGGAAAACCAAGGTCCCCAAATACAACACGGAGAACACCAATCCAACCACACTTGATGGCTAAACTCTGGAAGATGTAGAATCCTTCACATACGTGGGACGCATCACGATGTGCAAGGAGGATCAGATGCCGATGTAAGGACGAGGATTGGCAAAGCGAGGGCCGCATTCCTACAATTGAAGAACATATGGAACTCAAAACAACTTTCAACCAATATCAAAGGCAGAATCTTCAATACGAACGTCAAGGCAGTTCTACTATATGAAGCTGAAACTTGGAGAACTACAACAACCACAGTCAAGAAAGTATAAGTATTTATAAATAGTTGTCTACGCAAGATACTCAACATCCAATGACAGGATACCATCAACAACAGCCTTCTGTGGGAGAGAACAAACCAGCTTCTAGCTGAAGAAGAAATTAGAAAAAAGGCGATGGAAGTGGATCGCATACGCATCACGCAAATCATCAAACTTCATCAGAGGGCAAGCCCTAACTTGGAATCCTGAAGGGAAGCGAAAAAGAGGAAGGCCAAAGAACACATTGCGTCGGATAATAGAAACAGATATGAAAACGATGAATTACAACTGGACGGAGCTAGAAAGGATTGCCCAGGACAGGGTTGGATGGAGAATGCTGGTGAGCGGAGGAGTAACAGGCGTAAGTAAGTAAGTAATGAATAAATGCCAAAAAAATCATGATCTTCTATTCATAAAGTTCTTTGGAACATATCGATTATAAAGTTCTAAACAAGGAATTCAAAAGTAACTTGCTATTCACAATACAAATTCTTTGATTTTCAACACTAAATCAAGTGGTGATACTAACATAATCAAACAATTACTCATATACTGTTTGATTTGAACTACTTAATTCATCATTTGATGAGGTTATATTACTAATATCATAGAAGTAACTCACTGTATTGTTTTCATTCTGAATCATATTTGAATCTGTTTCACAATCTTCATTCACTTCCATATAATGATCATTGTTTAAGGTTGATTCATTTGACATGGATCCTAGTTTATGAACATTTAAACAGGATTCTTTTAGTGTTAGTGTGGAATTTGATTCAGATGTATGTTTTGAATGTAAACAAGATAATGGATAATTTTTAATTAAATCAAAATGAAGAGATGACCAATTCGATGTAAATACACATGGATGTGGCAATGGAAGCCATGAATTAATTGATTGTTTATCTAGTAATGTATCATACTGAGATTTAATGACATCATTAGTAGCCAACATCTTAGAGGAATAATAATTGTTTGATTTTGAAGTCAAATAAGGCCTGTTTAACATATATATCAGCCGTCTAAAATAAGAAAACAAATAAAATATAAAGTAAGTAACACTACATAGATGATGACTAGCAGTAAAATCCAGGATGCGAGTGTCGTCCTATGTGGAACTCGTCAGATGGATGTATCTGCATCACAGAGTTGATGCTCACTCTTGGACTCAAACCCATAACCATTTGCTTCAATCGCCATCACGTTATTCACTTAGTTGCCACTCCGCCTGGAGGCCCTCTGAGGCCACTGCCGATCCCAAGCCCGGATAAAGGAGGGGGGTTGGGCATGGAGTTGGTGAGCCCATCCCGTAGAAAACTAACTCACTAGAAAAATGTTAACCAGAAATAATAATTCAAACCATTTAAACTCTGCCCTGGGAGTTAGAATGTCTTCATTAAGAAGAGTTATGACGTCTCATGATGGGAGCCGACTTCCTTCGGAAGTCCCCAAGCTGATGCCCTTTCTGACAACCAGAGCAACCAATAATTTAGTAACTAAGTACTCCTCATCGATTTTTTAAGTCAAGAAACTGGAAATATCAAATAGATGTGAAGAATTACCTTTACTTACTGTTAAAACAATAATAAAATTAAACTGACAATTCAATTTTTGGAACACTTTGTTAATTCTAATCAATTTTGTTTTTACATCAGAACCATCTTTCACAGTTACAAACATGGTTACAATGAAATTAGTTGAAACGGATTGCTAAACGAAGTTTTGTACACTCTAGGAACTTTGATAATTCAGTGATTCAATCGTGAACTTTATATTACCAAACTACTTTGTAAAATCCTCCGTTCTATCAAGGTTTTATTACCTCTCCTTAATAACAGGTTGTCATTACTACTAAAATACTTAGATCCTAAACACAATTCAGTTTTATTAGGTTAGAGGTAACTAACGAAAACAAACATTTGACTTTGTAGTGACTTAGCTTCGTTAATCGATCACCTTGATAACCGTTATTATATAAATCTCAACATTGTTTGAATTCAGAAGGTAATAAGAAGCAGCGACTACAGTTTGTTTACGGATAGCATGGATATAAAAAAAAGTTACAAGCACATTGAGTGAATTGGAGCAGAGAGACTAATGTCTGTGTGCGATAAACTACCGTGGTGAATTTATAGTCAAATCGAATCAACGGCAAAGGCTAAGCAAAGCAATGCAAATGCTATTAATAGGATTCAAGTGAATACATATATGGGAAGAAGAATCACTCACCGAGCTATATTTAAGCGATCAACATTTAAGCTAGAGAGATATATCTGAGTAGGCTACCGCATGTGATCAAGTGTATACGTTTATATAGACATGATAGTGATCATAATATTACAAAGAAATAGATGAATTGTTACCGTCGGAATAACAAAGGACTTGACAAATGTTAACCCTAATCAAAATTGATTGTAGGTGAATTGCTATAATCTAAAGTATCTTGTTAATTGATTCTATTTAATAAATTGTATGTGTAGCTACAATGTACTTGTGTCTCTTCATTCAATTCAAATCTATTTACAATTAAATTGATCACTGAGAATTGACAAATGTTATATTTGTCTAGTCATTCAGTAGTGATCGTATCTTGTTGAACGATTTGCGTAATATGACCACTATTCTAAGTCAATCAAAGTCATCAACATTATAGTTCGATGTTAGTTTGTGATGGTAGAGAATTTTCAGAAAACCCTACTTGACATAGGCTCCATTTATATCCTGTGTAAACTACCAAGTATTAACGAGGTATTTCAATAGTTGAGATCGTGAGTCATTTGAAGCTAGACCACCATGGAAAACCTGGAGGCACTGGACAGCCGTTTCGTCCTATTGTGGAACTCCTTAGCAGTGCACACCCACGGTCCTGCCTCGCGGGATTCGAACTCAGGACCTACTGGTCTTGTGCGCGAGCACTTAGACCAGATAATTAGGCTAAGATGGAATGACTTTCATTAACAAATTGACTGAGTAACTATTAATTATTTTCTGAAAGTTTAATTGTGCAAGTTTTTTTTCATACAATCGACATGAGAGAAAAGCTGACTGTTGGCATTTTACTTGAATTAATGTCAACCGGTAATTTTAACGACTTTGAGAGATATTCACTTTAAAGATATTGATGATGTCTTAGATGAAGAGGTGCGGTATGAAATGAAGCTTAATGAAAAAATTAAGCTTGTTACTATAAGTTCAGATATTTTTGTGTCTAATTGTGATCTAAATGTAAACAAGAAAAACATTTTAACAGTTGAATTAATTAGTCAATCTACGCTAGACTACGATTGAAAACCTGAAATCACGAGATGACCGTTTCGTCCTAGTACGCCACTGCATACGTAAGGCCTGAACACAAAATATTCAGGCTCGCTCACGAATGCCTAACCTTTAGACCACTGAGCTGACATTCATTGGTGTTGATGTCAAACTTCAATCGATTAATGATCTTGTGCAATCTTTCATACATTGTCTCAGCTGAATAACTGTCTCCAACCGATACGGATTTGACTCCATTGGTCACAATTTCTCACTCGAACTCCAAGAAATCCATCTTGAAGCTAGTCTTTAGTATGCACATAGTTTTTATCTGTATGAGGATTTATGAAGATTGTAATATTTTAACATTTGAATCCACGAGTCCCGCGTATGGAGTCATGGGTGCGCACTGCTAAGAATTCCCCTACGACAATGAAATAGCCATCCAGTGCTTCCAGGTTTTCTATGTTGGTCTAACTTCAATTAACTCATCATCTCATTTATTACAATTACTATAATATCACACACACACACACACACACAAAACCCTTCTAAAATGATACAGTAATCTATTGTTTGTGAGAAAAGAGTTCGACTTTTTAAATGAGCTACTTTATTCATTCAATTGGATTTTATTTATTTATCAATTTCATAAGAGAATAAAGAGAGATAGAGGGGGGGAGGGGGGGAAGAGAAATTCTCATTTATCAATATAACAATGACCATTTATGTTTAGTAAATTATGAGAAATTTCTTGTAAATATTCCCACTGAATATATATTACATATTTATAGGATAATAATCATGGTGATAATGAGGAAGATGTTGATGACGATGGGTGGTGACTATCATTAAGTTGGACTTAAAACAACAAATCTAATCATAATAAAACTTACATAATTGAAAAACGTATACCTTAATCCCTATGTACTACTACTAGTAGTAGTAGTAGCAGTAGTAGTAGTAGTAGATGAGAACAGAAACATCTGGAAGAAAGTTTTTATTATGTTCAACTAATAGTCACTATCAGATTTTTCAATCAATAATCAATAATAAAAAACTTTCGTTAAACTAATATCTGGTATGTAAATATGCCAATAAGAGAGAGACTGATCAATTACAGTCCTAAACAACAATAGAAAGATACAAATAGAACAACACTAATTGAATTTAAAACCTCACCCCATTACTCAAGCACTTGCTGTCAGCACTTAGTAGCTAAGTAGATAATTCGATGGTATTTGAAGCGAATCGTACTGAGTTAGAGTCCCAGAGTGAACATCAACTTTGAGATGTAGGTACATTCATCTGATGAGTCCTAAATAGGATGAATCGAGTGTCCTGGATTCCACTACTAGCCACTATCTATCATTGCTTATAATGCTTGTGAATTAGGACAATATTGAGGCAATCCGCACAGAATACACACATACCAACATGAGACTGATCAATTTCAGTCCTAAACATCAATGGGAAGATACAAGTAAACAATAACACCAAGTGAATTTAATATCCGGTTGTTTTCGTACAGATTTTTTTGTGAACAAAATTGAAAGATTCTCTTCTATTCAAATTCAACCAATAAGATGATGATGATGAGATATATATGATATATCTAGAGATTGGGTTCTTTGATACACTGCGTATAACTTAAGTACTCTAATGCTAGTACTCTCCACGTCGCAAATGAGAAGACAGAAGACAAATGAAAGGAATGCTATTTCAAAACAGTGTCGAATACGATACAAAACTGTCAGGCATTTATAGTTTTTAGTAAAAACAAAATCATCATTATAGTCTTTTAATCCGCATATAGGAGGTTATTAGCATTTATCCAATAAGTAAGTTATACGTCGAGATTCTGGAATGTTCCTCCAAAAGATGATTATATGGAATGCCTTTGACTCTTTCTGACCTTCTTAGAGCTTCCTTGAGTTCACCTGTGGGCCGTCCTCACAATAAAAAACTTTGAAACTGTCAAATTGAATGTAGTTAGTAAAAAAGATTGTAAATGATATGCTACTTAAGTCCTTCAGTTGTACCGCACTAAAGAACATGTTTAATAAATTCAATTACTTTTTAGATTACTTAATTGCTTAATAGTAATATATGACTCATTATTGCTATGTTTTCAAAAGATGTTTATTGAAATGTATTTATGTATACTCAAGTCGAATCTCGTTTTTTACTAAACGATTCTTCAAATGTTTTAACACGTAACTAACCGAATTTCAGTACTAATCTCAGACATTTTCATCAACAGTAACTGTACACAGAATACAAGAACGATCTGGCTTTTTTTTCAATTAGTTACAATAAGTTTAGCATTGAAGACAAGAGATTGTTGGCAAAATAACGTGGATTGGTTGAAGTTAGACATTAACACTGTTGGATACCTGTTCAATGATCTAGAGGTTAAGCGTTCACGCGCGAGACCAATAGGTCCCGGGTTCGAATCTCGCGGGGTGGGTCGTAGATCTGTACTGCTAGAACGAAACAGCCGTCCAGTGCTTCTAGACTTTCCTTGGTGGTCTAGCTTTAATTGGCTCATGAATTCGACTATTAAATTACTAAAATCTTCACAAAAACCCCTTCAAATTAACTACTTACTATATAGTTCTCAGATTTTTGTGAGATGCTCTGTAATTTCGTTTTCAAGTACATTTGATTGTCCCCACTTGTGTTCTTGATCACTACACA